CCTTCCCTTCCCTTCCCTTCCCTTCCCTTCCCTTCCCTTCCCTTCCCTTCCCTTCCCTTCCCTTCCCCTCCATCTGGGATTCCAGTTAGGGTTTATTTTGAGCCCTTTGTTCCTTCATCCTTCATACTGTACTGTGACATTGAATGTGCTTTAAATGAATGAAACTCCTCCTTTAAAGCTACTCACAGCTCAATGCCTGCCTTTCTTTGGGACTACATTTGTGCTTATTTTTAACAGATTACTGTCCAGAAGGTCACAGCAGAGAGCAGTGCACATGGCTGAATATTAACTTTATAGAGTGCATTGAATTCAGGAGCAGATCAGAGTCTTCGTGAAGCAAAAGCAATGCTAATCCTGGAAGAACTCTTAAAATCTTTCATAAGCTGCATTTAATTAAAAGAAAATGAACTACGCAAGAGTTGATGCATGAATTGTACATTTGTGCATCCCACTCAATGAATGAATAATTTCCCTGCCTTCTTTCCTGACCCAGAAATGCTTTGCAATCCATTAAGGATGCTTAAATATTGTTACAACTCCAGCAGACCACGTATCACCAGGAGCTACCCAGGGCATGGCCATTGCAGCCCACAGGGCTTCAGAGTCAGCCAAAGGGCTTTTGAGTCATAGGATCTCCGTAGAATCACAGCATGGTTTGGTTGGAAGGGACTTTAAAGGTCATCCAGTTCCACCCCCCTGCCATGGGCTGGCTGCCCCCCACCAGCTCAGGCTTCCCAGGGCTCCAACCCGGCCCTGAGCACCTCCAGGGATGGGGCACCTACAGCTCTCTGGGCAGCAGTGCCAATGCATCCCTACCTGCAATGAGAAGAATTCCTTCCTAATGCCCATCTCAGACTGGGAGGGCTGTTGGGAGCTTTCACAGGTCTTTTTCTCACCACCAGCTATGGGAGAAGATGTGTCCCATCACTCCCTATGAATCATTGCACCATAGAAAAGCAAAATCACAGCACATAACCTTAGAAACACTGAGCATATCCATTCCCTCCTGAACTCATGCAATCGACGGAAACAAATTTACTTAGAGCCAAAATTTGATGTTGAACAGTTTATTCCACGGGTCAGTGAGTTGAAGGAGTGACGCCCAGCCCAGCAGCCCAGCAGCCCAGCAGCCCAGCAGCCCAGCAGCCCAGC